ATCCTGGTAGACCATACCGGTCATGGAAACGTCCACGCAATGGTCTTGGTCCCGGTTGTTTCTGCCTCAATCGGCTGACCGTCCGACAGGGAGGTCCCCCGATGATAGCAAGAAGTTTTCCCAGGCTTGCAAGTTTCCAAAGGAAACTCCATGTTCCCGGATTGTGTATATCTTGATTTCGACCTTCATTGATATCCAAAGTGATGACTTCAATCCCATTGATGGGATTCTTTCGCCATTCCTTCGCCCTTTCTCCAGCAAAAAGGTGGACTATAACCCCTTTTGAGGTGAGCAGCCTCCTTCTTTTGTGCCGGTTCCATGGTAAATCATGGTTCATTTGCGGATCTTCTTCATCTTGACCCCGCATGTAATTCCAAATTCTGTCCGGTGTTTCCGGAAATCGTGATCCCCACCACTTCTTGGTCTTCTCCGTGGGCTCTTCCAAGGTGAGCCGATGGTTGGTCCTCTTTTCCATTTCCATGTGCTCAATCTCAGTGATCAGAGCCAGAGCGTGGTCCTTTCGAACCACTGGACACCCAGACCTTAACCAACATTCTATGTTTCCCAGTCGTGGATGTTTCACAACACATCCTGCACGGGACCAAGTGATGGTGTATCCCAATTCCACCAAACCTCGAAGAGGTACAATTGGTTCCACCGGTCCCTCCGACAAGAGGGTTCCATTCACAGGATTTTGATAGAGCTGAGCAGCTCCATGTGCGAGTTCCACAGTGACCTGCACCGCGTTCTTGATCTCCTCGGTTGATCCCTGTCTCAAGGGGTGTGTCGCCCCACCATCCAATAAACCTGTTCCATCATCAAATTCAACTTCGAGATGATCCCCACCATGCCCCACCGATTTCAAGACCGGTCCATTGAGACCCTTCAAAAGGTTGGTCACTTCTCCCACAACCTTGTTGGCCTCCTCTGGTACAGGGGTTATAGTGACCGTGGACTCCTTCATCGGATTGATCTTCACGGTAGGTTCAGAATGTTCTTGAGCAGCACCTCCCTCTTTTCCAGGACCATTTTTCCTCTCTTGAGATCTTGAGCGGATTCTTGTGGTTTTGGCCACCTTTGGTTCCTCGGATCCACCTTGTGGACCTCGTGACTCACTTCGTTTTCCCGCCGGACAATCACGTCGGGAGTGTCCCCTTCCAGAACAGTTGAAACATCGGCCATCTTTGGAGTCCAGGACAGTGTGCGTGAATCGGCACCGGTCAGCATATTGGCATCCCTTATCTGTCAGCCAGTTGATGCACGCAGTCTTGTGGACCACATTAGCCGCGTTAATCGGCAGCTCGGGCTTTTCTCCCCTCCTTCCGGTGGAAGAACCTGCTGCGTCTTCTGGTTTTCCCTTTGAAGCGCCCTTTGGTGGGTTTCCAGATGAATCCGGCCCACTCATTGACTTCACCCCTACCACATTATTGGGTTTAGCCGCTGGGCCCTGTGTTATGTTCCCCGGTTGACGGAGAGCCATTTCACCAGCTTCAGCTTGAAGAAGTTCAGAAAACGTTCTGATCTCTTGCATTCCCGGCCGGAGATCTATGCCCAAATGCTGTCTCACCGAAGACAACCGGTAGGCAGCTTGAGCTCCCCCCAATCTGGCCAAGGCATCACTCATTTTTGCGACCACTCCGGCCAAAACCAGAGGATCGGGCAAAACCAATTGAAGTTCTTCGGCACGAACCACCCATCTTCTCCACTTCCGGATGGAGTTGACCATCTCTGCAGCATTATTAGATGGACATTTCCAGTCCACCAACATTTGCAGCAGGGCAGTTCTTTCCACTTGTCCCCCAGGTTGGAAGACGGTGTACAGCTTGAACATGACTTGACCCGCTGACATGTGTCTGTTCGCCACAAGGTCCTCGTAGATGTCCTTGGGGACGGCTTGAAGCAGCATACCCACCACCCGTTTCTCTGTGCGAGGCCACCTACGGGCCATGTCAGGTATCACAGGCGCCATCCGGAGCCTCATGAGTGGATCCGCTTGCAACCAGTGGTGGTATGCTTGTTCAACAGCAGTCATCACTACTTCCCACCATTGCTCTGAGGTGTAGCTCACATCCCCAATCATCTGTTGGGCAACTGTCAGCCAGTCTCCAAAGTCCAAAGATGTTGCATTCCTGTCCAGCTTCGGCAATTCGACCGATCTTAGCGTTTCGCCTGGTACTTCTCCCCCTGCCTGAGGTCCTGCTTGGACTACAGCTTGTTGTTGTTGTGGCGGTGCAGCTTGTCCTGGATTTCCTTGATGACCACCTGGGAGACCGGGATTTCCCTGATGACCACCTGGCGGACCAGGTGCTTGTCCGGGATTTCCATACTGCCCTGGCGGTGGACCCCCTGGCCAACCATAACCACCCATAGGTCCGGTGTTTCCTCCCGGAAATGCAAAAACCCCTTGAGGTCGATGATCTTGTCCTGCAGGTGCTCCTCCAACATGGACTTGAGGATTATACCATTGATTAGGTTGGTCACCGATGAAAAAGTGTTTTGTGTTTTCCGTGGCTCCCATGCAAGGAACTCCCATCGGTGGTCTTGACGCCGCTCTCTGCGGCATACCTCCCGGTGGTATTCCAATTAGCCACCCTTGATTCATATACACATCCATCGGCCGAAAACCTTGTTCGACCTTGGGCGCAGGAGGAACATTCCACAACTGACCTCCCGCCTGCATTTGAAGATCTTGATCATGGTGATGTTGAACTCCTGGAACTGGTTGATCTTGCACATGTTGTACCTGGGGTGGAACACCTTGAGGTGGCCCCACAGGAAAACCCTGCTCGACATTCTTCAGCTCCGGCGAGGCGGTTTGATAAGACCCCCCACTTGACTGAGAGCCCTTGTGACCTCCTCCGGCTTCTCGGACCCGTTCCAGGGCACGTTTCTCTTCCCGCGTGGCTAACCAATTTTCTCGATCTTGTTGGATCTCGGTCTTGCCCCGTTGAAAGAATTCCATCATTTGCTGTTTCAACTCCTCATACTTTTCCTTCTCCCTCGCGTCCGCCTGATCAATCAGGTCTTGCGACACTATGGGATAAGTCAGCTCTTTCACTGGAGTTTGTGGACTGCTCATTAGAGCTTCCACTCGCTTGGCAGCACTCCATGGATTCGTTTCCTCTGCAGCCATGACCCCGGTTACAATCCCAGGATCCACAACCGCCGTTCCCCACTGAGGCATCATTCCCGTAGGTGGCACTCCAGCACACATGGATTGCTGGGACATCCCAGCTACTTGCGAACCCTGTGTTCCACCAGTTGCAGTATACACCACAGGTGCTCCCGCCGGCTGGTAGATCATAGGTGAGCCTGTTGGTGCCGCTGGCACCGATTGTTTAACGCGTGCATCTTCAGGAGACTCAACAGGTGAACGTCCCGGTCGCTCCAAAAGAGCAACGGTTTCCACAACAGCAGCCGCACCTCCACCCACTTCAGTTGAGCTTTGGTGTTTTCCACCCTGTCCTTCTTCTCGATTACCCACAACAGGTGGTTCACGAAATCCCTCAGACATCCGGGCAACTACTGGTGTTTGTGTCATAGGCACTCCCGAAAGAGTTAGACTATTCACACCTGGGGTCAAACCAGACAACAGACCGCCACTCCCATTTCCTCGTACCACTTCAAGTCCAGGAGGTTCTTCAGGTGGTAAGGACACTGGTCTTGCGACTTCTTCCGCAACAGCCGGATTCTGGGCGATTCGTTCGCCCGCTCCAGCCCGGACCGCCGCAACCTGCACTAGGGCTCCACTTCCCCCAGCACCGGTCAGTGCCATCACACTTTCTCCAACTTCCCCTTCCATCAGTGATCTTCGGGTTGAGTCTGATGATCTTGTCCCTGTTCTTTCCCCATGTGCTTGTCCAGGTGCGTCCATCTCCTCCAGAAGCCGGTCCAGCATTTGGTCTGCCGTTTCCGCGCGTTCTTCTTTTCCATGTCCATGGGTCCCATGTTGTACTTCTTCAGCATGAGCAGCCGCTTGAACTTGGCGTTCTTGTCGACGACGCTGAGTGAAGTCGCTGCTCGACATTGCTTCAAGGCAGCGTTGGGGTTGGGCTCATAACCCACGGGTTTCAGACTATGACCGAGACCCTTCCCGGAGGTCCCCACCAAGAGGCAGATGCAAGTGCACTTTTTCACTCCAAGTTGGGCTCGGTAAATTGAGCCAGTCAGTTGATTGGCCCTTGAGCCAAGTTGCAACAGTCGGAGGACGTCTCAACGACTGTGAAAACTTTAAAAAAGACCTTAGTGGGGGTGCAGTGGTACTCTGTGCATGTTTCCCAAACCGCACATACAAATCATCAAGCGTGGGGATTTGGGATAAGTTACTTCCAAAAGTTGTGAGAATGTCACCAGCAAATGGACTTTTCCACCAAAACCATGGGTAACCACATCCAGAACATGGGATGAGATGGGGATTAATGTGACCAATATATGTATATAGATGCAACCAAGAATCTGGATCATTTATAAGGAACTGATAAGGTAATCAGTGGGAGTCATCCCAAAAAGCTAGCAAACTCTCTGTCTGGATGATTTATTTTTTTTTGAAGATTGGGATAGGTGATTATCAGGCAGGCTCTTGTATAGCACACTCTCAAGACCTTACCTGGAAACCCAAGCTGGCTTCACATCCAGTAGCAAAGTCACTTTTTAAAGGTGTTAACATGGGTGTTTGTCTTGGTCTTTGTGGATTTTCCTCTGAATTTCTGGTTGAATCCTCAACATGTTCACTTTGCGGGAATTGCACACCTCAGTTGTTTTCATGGCACTCGGGGGCGAAATGCCGTGGATAGCGACTACACAACTGGTCATCGTAGTTTGATCTTTAGCACTTTCGAACACCTCATAATTTCAATATTTGAATGGACTCTCATGATTTTTCTGCGTTTTACACGGCAAGAACTTCAGGAACATTCCACATCATTCCTCCATTTTGGGGTCCCCTTTGGTCCAGCCAGACCGGTGACTCAACCGGTGACGCCACCGGTCGACATCGGCAGGCTGTCCGACGTCACGGCGGCGGCGATGTGCTACGCAAATCAAGAGCCCGTGATGGATAGCATCTCGACGCCAAAAAACGTCGACCTGGACCTGGGAACATCTGACGGGGAATGGAACGGTAAACATTGGTTAGTAACATTCCCTAACTATTGGTTAAACATTGGTTGTTAACTGGGGATAGTTAACTGGTAAACCAGAGTTACCATCTGGTTATGACTAACATAGCCATGGAAAATCACTATGCTATTAATAGGTAAACCATCTATAAATGGGCCACTTCCCATGGCTATGTTAAACAATCAGATGGTAACTATCAAATGTTAGTAAATACCTGGTTAGACAACTAATAGTTTTTTTTTTTCTATGATTAGTTAACCATTTATTGACAATCAACTATCAAATACCATAGAGTAATGTTCGTAAAGATAAATGTCAATCAACCATCCAACTATATCTTGATGGTTGGAATCCCAGCCACATGTCAAATTAGGGATGTCCAGGCCCTGACTCATTATGAGTCTCGCCAGTTTTTTTTTTTTTGGTGGAATCTCAAGCACTTGCGACGCTAGTGGGATATAAACCATGGGCTATAAGATGTCGCCAAACCACTTATTACCCTCTGGCAAACATACAAAAAACATCAAAAAACATCACCATCTCTAATAGGTACATCAACGAACTAAATGGCAATTTTATATAGATATGTTAAACTACCAGAGGGTAACTGGGACGGGCATCTACAAGTTTACAAGTAATTATACTCTATGCTGTCTGCAATGGATTGTTCCCCCAAATTCAAAATCTAAAAACACACGTGTACACAGGTACACACGCGGTTTGGACCCAAAGGCTAGAAACTCATCATGACTGATCCAGCCAATCTTCTGCTTCTTGAGGAATAGTTTCATTCTTGTTATTGCAAGGATTGGATTTGGAAGAACATGCGGCTTTGTCCGAAAATGCGGATGATCAACATCCCATTCAAAATCGTTCAAGTATGAATGACACATTTGTTTGATGCAATACTGGTAAAGCAATGTCACTCCAACCATCTATACTGGTTGGTGGTTTGGAACCATGGAATTTTATGACTTTCCATATTGGGAATGTCGTAACCCCAAGTGACGAAGTCATCATTTTTTAGGGGGGTAGGTCAACCACCAAGCAGTATATCTTGATGGTTGGAATCTCAGCCATGAACATGGTCCAGGAAAGTTGGCGGATGGCTGGTCCATCGCAGAGTGCCTTGGCGGAACTGGGGCCTTTGTGGTACCCGGTACAGAAAATGATGCTTTCACAGGCAACAACTGGGGATTTTCGAGTTGATCTATGTTGATCTATGGGGTTATGGGGAATGTTGAGTTGATCTATTTTGGCGAACTTGGTTCGCTAACTAGGGATGTATGGTTCAATATATCACACTAGTTTTCATGGGCTTTTTCGAACACATAAAAGCAACAAGCAGCTTTCACTTCTCCAGAGCGGGTGCACCAAACATCGAAACACTCACGGGTTGACCCTGGGGCGCTCCAGCGTGGCTGGAAAATATCTGAAAGAAATGGAGGTTTGCTGGGAAAATAATCTATAGATGTGGGTAAAGCAATAGGATCCACCATCCCCAAAATCACCATGAAGGGTTGGTAACCATCAAATTATGGTTGGTGTATCTGTATTGTCGCTTTACTGACATTCGTGGATTTTCCAGCAAGCCATGTTTGATTACCAAAGGGTACACTTCGTAACCCACTTCATCATTTCCAGGCTTTTGCCCTCCAGCAAACTAGCGGTAAACATGACATTGTTAAAAAAACACATTATATACACAGAAATTCTGGGCTTTCCGAAGTTTCCACATCTTGTTCTATGCAGCCACTGCTTACGTAGCGTTGGCCACGAGGCACGAGAACCTGAAGCAGATGAACTCGGTTTCTCGGAGGGACTTGACATCGGGACTAGTGACTAGTGATAATCTTGGGGGCTTCCTACAAAGGGGGTACCCCAATAGCTGGATGGTTTATAATGGAACATCCTAAAATTGATGATCTAGGGTTCCCCCCCATTTTAGGAACCTCCATTTGGAGTGATCAAGTATGATATGTAGTATTTGTGTTAACATATTGTTAATATTAACCAGAACATGTCTAGGATAGTGCACCGATCCGAGGCATTTTGGCCACTCTTGTGGGCAACGCATTTCAGGGATTTCAACGAAGAACCAACGAAAATTTTCCCCAAAACACGGTGATTTACCCAACCATGGATACTTCATGGGATGCAGAACGAACTACAAGCCTTTCAAGAAGCTGCAAGGAAGAAGATTGAGGTGTGCATGGGCATCATGGGCATGCCAACTTGATTTCAAACATGTGCGGATGCATTGTCCGCGAATTCGATTCCTAAACCGGGATGGTTTGCTCGGGACAGCCTAGGATTAAGGTGGGCCCTGCTAGATAGCACAGTTTTGAAAAGAGTTTTTCAGTAGATTAACTATGGTTTTTGGTAGATGTAGCAATCGCGGTTTCAACTAACCTCTAACCAGCGAAAATCCAGTGGCAGAGTTGTCAGGTGGTCGAGTATCATGCCCAACTTGGAGAGTTCTGAGAGGTGTTGGTCAAGATTCCCCATTCCAGTCACTGCTTCATCATGATTATCCTAGCGCAAATTGCCAGAAATGATGGGTATACTCGGTATATATATATATATATACTCGATTTTCAGACACACTCATTTGTTCGTTCTCGAATCTTCTCTCAAAAACTGGAAGAGTAGTACTGTGCCCTCCTTGTCAAACTTCATGAAAAATCAGGAGTTCATGGCCCATTCAACAGGCCTCAGGATGTGGCCAAGCTGTCAACGGGAATTTCCATGGGATTTTTTCATCCCATTGAAATCATTGGGTCTGTGAAGAACCACTGGTGTATCATGCTTTCATCACCAGAAATCAGCCGTGAACCACTGGTTTTATCATGGAATTTCATCACCAACAATTCAGCCGTCATGTTTATAAAACGAAGCGGTCTCCCGGCCCCGCGTCATCGGTTTTTTCAGGTGATTTGTTGGCCACTGATGGCATGCGAAAGGCGCCGAGCGGTTGAACTGAAAAACCATAGGTCTTGGGGCTACCCCAACATATATTCACATGATTTTTTTCATGGAAAATCCCACTAAAATGGATGATATCTGGGGGTACCCTCATGAAAAGGGAAACCTCCGGTTTCAAGTATTTTGGTTGAAAAAAACCATACAATGTTGGGATGATTGACTCAGACCAGCATGAATCTTTTGGAAGGGTTTTTCAACTAGTTAAAAACAGAAAAAAAACCACCAACCAGACAAGCTTGCTCCAAGCTACAAAAAGGTCAAATCGATTTACCCACCCCTGAAACATCCCAAAACGCCCCAAACTCGGATGTTGTTGACAACGCTGATGGATGACGACTTCAAGATCTTGCAGCTGTGCACTCCCATCCACCATGGTTTCGTTTACTTTGATTCTACTTGACCTGGTGACCTGGGTACCGAAGAGTATGAAGAGTGATCATAGACCCCGGGTAAACTATATGGGTATGGATCAATACCTATTAATACCATTTTTAGGGGGTTATTCACATCCATAAATCCCAGCTATTTTGATGTGAACTACAGGGGTACAAGGTTTTGACACACTGCCATATGGGACTTCGTAAATCATCGTTCAAGCCATCGTTTGACCGTCGACTCCTGGCTGTATTGATCTCCAGCGTTGCTTGGAGGGCGTTAGAGGTACGTCCAAGCTTTGGTGCCGTATATCTAAGTGGTCTATTTCATTTGCTTATTACATGCCCATTGCACCTGTTGACATACCTCTAACTTTGATGGATTTTGAATCATGGTTCATCATCATTTCTCTATTGAAGTTGCCCTTTGGGTATAGATAGGCCGACGCCGCCGTTTGCTCAGACTCTAAATTGTTTAAACTTAGACCTTGTCCCAACTTACTACACATGTTACACTACTACATTGGTTAAGATCTTCAATAAGGGATCAAATCCCCCTAACCCCGTTAAACTATATTAAACTATTGCATTGATTGAAGATCTTCAAGGGATCATATTCCCCACCCCCTTCACACTATACTATACAGTCACTATTACATTACATGGATTGACGATCTTCATGAAGGGATCCCCCACGCCTGTTAAACTATTACGGCCAGAAGGGGGGGCTGAAGTGCATTTTAACTGCACACGGGCAGTGTTTTATGCATTTTGGGATGTCGGCCGGGTGACGAGACTTGTTTCCAAAACACAAAACCCTAAACCCTAGATCCTAAACCCTAAACCTAAATCTGACATGAAAACCTAAGTAAGCCTTGAAAGTAAAATCTTATTATCACCGTGGTAAAACCCTAAAACCCCTAAATGAAACCCTAGATAAACTCTAAACACACCATAAACAAACCCTAAACAAACCCCAAACGAACCCTAAAGAGTTGGCGACATGATAAACCTCTGGGCGGCACTCCCGGCCTGGGGGAACTCACTGATTGAAGATCTTCAAGCAGGGATCAAGTCCCCTCACCCCCGGTAAACTATTACATTGATTGAAGATCTTTAAGGGATCAAATTTCCTCACCCCCGGTTTAACATTGTTAAACATTGTTAAACAATGACATTGATTGACGATAATAACGCAGCGATTAAATCCCCGACCCCCGCAAAGCAGACGCATAGACACCTGAGCCTGTCATGACATTGTTCTATGTGGAGGAAAGCGAGATGGCGTAGGAAGGGGGAAAAAAGGGATTTCAGAAGACGAGTTTTTTGGAAGACCATTACAGGATTTTCATTTCGCAAAGCCTTCCTCGATGAAGCCCTATAGCATGTCAAGACATGTTGAGATAGTCATTTTGTACGGGAAATACCAGGGTGTTGGCCCTTCCTCAAGACGTGATTCAATTCATTCCGGGCAAACCGGGACTGATGATGTATAGATACCAAACATTTTTAGACTTGACAGAACTTACGGAGCAGGTGTATCGGAGTCATCCAGCTTCTCTCTCCCGATGTTGATACCTTCTCAGTGAAGGTGCGGGCAGGGTCGCGGGGCCAGGGCAACCAACGACCGATTTTGCAGATGGGCTGGTCGATGTTTGGATACTAATCATATTTTCTTAGGGCTACCCAATGACTTGACCCCAATGACGCTCTCTACTCTTCCATGGACAGTCGAATACCATGGATCTTGGATGATACAAAATCCTGGTCAATGAGTTAAGGAGCCCAACTAACCCCACGAATAGTGAAACCCTACTGATTCGGCAATTTTTCATCTGGTCCCCCAGAACAATTGCACGAAAACATGGTGGGTCTGGTGGGTCTGGTGGGAAATCCACCAGGTAATCTGTGGGAAATGAATTGTGCTGATTTTGTGAGCTTGGGCTTCGCAAAACGGAGGGAATAAGACATGATTTCTTGTGGAGCAAAAGAAGATTCACTTCAAGAAGTGAAAGATGTTGACCAAGTAAAAAAGGACCAGAAAAAAAACACAGTATTTTACCAACACCATGGACAAAGAACGGATATTTTGCCCATGAAAATCCTCAAGGTCACCTCTTGAGGAAGTGACATGCTCTGCAAGGTGGTGCCCCAGTTTTGAATCGCTAACTTGGTTTATCAGCAGATTATATTAAATGATTAACTGGGATTCATGGTAGATAATAGTAGCTATATCTGTAGTGCACGGGGGTTTTAAGATCAAGAATAACATTGGCTGGGGGGCACCGCCTTGTAGAAGGGAACAGCTTAACATGGCACGTCGGAAAACCCCGGAGTGATGCCAATGGGGTCCCGATGTTCAGAGAACAGAGAACCACCCCGTTCAAACCGATGGCATTCGGAATGGCCTTAAGATACCGTTATAATATGTCCCATCAACATCCCCGTGTCTCAATGATACATGTCCAGTGACCATTGATATACAGCGAGACGAAATGTCGTGCAAACATATGATATTTATATAAATATATATGTATTACCAACGGAATGTTGCATATTTCCTGCAATACTTGCTTCTAAGAACCACGTTTGACGGTACAAACTGGCAACATATAATTGGTAAAGCATTTCGCCACACTGATTTCAAGTTTTGAAATCGTTCAAAGAGTTTGATGTTCTTGCGTTGATGTTCATGTTCTTTGCCAGAGTTTTGGGGTACGTAGATACTTTATGATATTTTCATTATATACAGTATTTGTTTTTCTTGCTGTGACCCCCGGCCCGGAAAAAATAATCATAGAACACGCAATTTGAAGACAAAATGCAAACAAACATATGCAAACATATACTGTAAGAAGATGTAAGAAGTATATATGGGAGAAAATACAATTATGGAACAGGACGAGGCCCAGCAAGAATTATAGAACAACCCCCAAAAAAGGATTTTATATACTTTTTTCATCTTTCTTCCTCAGTTTGGGGAACCAGGTATTACGGAACAGGGTAAACTTCCGTACTTTCGCAATCCTCAGCTTCCCTTCTATAGATGTGTACGTCCCCAGAGATGATCGGAGTGAGCGAAGAATGCTTCGTTTCAACATGATGATTTTAAGCATCTAAACTGGGGATATGACGATGTGCACTTACATAACCAACGATGATACAGCTTGGTGTTTTTTTTTTTTTTTCTAATGTATGTTTTTTCACACGTTCAACCACATTAGGATGATGATTGATGATCCGAGCATGATTCAACAAGTGGATGTTCCACTGAAAACTCACACTGTTCTGAACTCCCAAATATACTGGATATATCATTGGATATCTTAAGAAATCTTCAAATCAGCGTCAGACCTAGTGCCGCTTTTCTGACTGGAGGACAGTCGCTACAAGGCTGTGCTTTCGGTCGCCGTACTGCGCTTCTTGCGCGCGGAGCTTCAAGGCCAGGTGCAGGTGCAAGGTACCTTGGCCTCACTGTGCAGCGGGGTTCCGGGGATAATTCAGTCAGTTGTGAATGGATTCTTTCATGTCCTTATTGGCATCTCAACAACCATGTGCTCATTCGTTGGTGCGCCTCACAACTTCAACACTTCGTTGCTTCTGCATCTCAAAAACTTTCCTATAGGCCATCTTCTTCCTATAGTAGTCAATAGTAGTCAATAGTAGTCATATTTTTTTTTTCGAAACTTCCACCCCAGCGTAACCGGGCACTACTGGTAAGACTATTTTGTATACCGTTTTTTCTGAGAGTGAGTTTCTATAGCTATATATATGGTAAATAACCACGAGGTATAGTTTAACAACCCTGGTTTTGTAGTAAGTCCCCGATTCCTAGGTTTGTTTTCACCTCTATAAGTTGGGGTATGGCCCCCCCTACAACTATGATGAAATATTAGCCACTTATTACTGGCACGGCACCAATAGGTTCTAACATATTGTCATAAAGTTTTTTTTATTTTATTTTTTATAATGGATTGTAACCATTTATATAATAGGGAAAAGGATTTTAACCATCGGGTTTAGGGGTACACTATTTGCAGACACACCCAAATAAGCCATCAAACATACGTACCCCTATCCCATCTCATGAAAACGGTTTCCCTATGGGTTAGTTCATCATTTTGAGTAAATTAGGTACTATAAGTCCCAAGTCACCCATCGGGGGTCATTTTGACATGGCCCATGGCCGAGGTGAATTGCTACGTTCCGTATTTCCCGCGCACGTCTGCGAGGAAATTTTAGCGACCTCCAGAGCCGCTGCCAACATCATGGGGTCCATGATGGGGTGTATACCCATAAAAATTCAGAGTCCAAGAATTACCAGGAATCCAGACCAATTTTGTGGGATTCGATGAATAATCACACGGATGGTTTGGAACCCCCCAATTTTAATGGGAACATGATCTGTAAATGGAGATTTTCCATTGCAATGGCCGTTTTTGAAGTATGGAACCAATGCGATTATGGGATTTGATGGTTTGCATTGATCTAAAGTTGGATTTCGTAGCCATATTGGGGGATGGTCATCCATCTATTCACCAAAATCTACGCATGATGTTTGGATTCCCATGGCATGGGATGACCATACCTTATTTACCAGATTAATTTGGTGACAATTCCCAGTTTATTCCTATGATTGTTGGTTAAAACCCACATATTTACCATAATTACATCCCATATTTTCCATTTGTTCCATGTATCTGGAGCACTTTTGCCTCCAGTTCCGAGTTGGAGTTTGATGATTTTTGTGGTGTACAGGTCTGGGAAAATTTCGCGGTAGTCTGAAGTGGTCGGTTTTTGTGGAGTGAACTGATCCATGCTTTGAGTAGGTGAACATCCATTTGGTTTTGGGACTATGAAAATCCAAAACCAAGCCCACATGAAAAAAACATTTTGGGTTTGTGAAACCAACTCACCTCCAAATGAAAAACAACTACCCTCTGGTAATCAAACACAGCAATGGAACATCCCTCAGAAATCAAGGTTTATAGCCGGGAAACTCACCTATAAATAGGGGATGTTCCATTGCCTAATTGTGTTTCTAAACGGTTTGAATCAACTTTCCCATTGAAAAATATTTTGTACCCATCTGAGGCAGCTTCAGATCGGCCTACTTCATTTCCGCGTAAATGTCTCTTTTTGTCCCTTTTGGGTCATAATCCATGAGCTGGGCATCTCGGTATTTTCACCATTCTTCCGGGAAGCTTCTCAATTCTTTCCATATCATAGGGGATTTAAAAAAACATAGATTAAAGGACCGGATGACCCCACATGTCAACTTTTTCCAATAAGTAGCAAAAGAAAGGCGAAGATGGGATGGGAAGAGCGGGAAAGTGAAAGGGGACGTGTGCAAGAGCTGTGTGTGACAGAGTTGTGCGTGAAAGATTCTTGCGTGAAAGGGATGTGGGATGTAGGTGAAAGAGTGTTTTAAGGGATGGAGAAGCCTGCCACACAAAGTGAAGGTTCATGTCACCAAGTGCCACGCCTGCCACACACAAAAGATCGCTAGCGGCGTCACAGCCGCGACCAAGCGCGCCACCAGAGCCAGCCCAGTGCCGTAAGTGCCACGCCTGCCACACAAACTGAAGGTCGATGTCGCCCAGTGCCACGCCTGCCACAAAGAACGGAGGTCGATGCGTCCGAATGCCACGCCTGCCACACAAACAGCTGCGGTGACCACGGCGCCAATGGGAACCAAGCCCAGTGCCATAAGTGCCACGTGTTGTGTGTGGGGGAGTAGTGTGTGTGTGAGAGTGTGTGGGAGAGTTGTGTGTGAGAGTGTGTGGGAGAGTTGTGTGTGAGAGTGTCGTGTGTGGGAGAGTTGTGTGTGTGAAAGAGTTGTGTGTGAGTAAGTTGAGAGTAGGTGGAAGGACACGGCGGGAGGAGCGGACGGGAGGAGGAGCGGACGGCAGCGCACAAACAAAAACAAGAACCCCACACAAAGACGTGGGGAATAAGCATGGTAAAAAAACACGGTTTTGTGGCGGGCTGAACATGTTCAAAACGTTGGGCTGGGTGTTGACACCGGCCGCCGAGGAATGGCCCAATGTCAATTTAATGACATCAATTTCGAGCCCCGGTGAGAACTGGGGCGCATGGTCCCAGAAGTGGTTGGAACATTTGCAGGGTGTTATCCCGATGAAACCGGTGTATTTTCTTTTGGGTACCCCAATTTATAGCATTTTTTTTGGGGACAACAATTACAAAACATAAGAGTTTGGGGGCTTACCACCAAATATTTGGGGGTAGTTTTTACCGCGGTTTCTTGCAACATTGGCATGAAACCCATAACTTACATGCTGCTTTGCCATTAAATCATGCATGGTCTGTGTGAAAATTCTGGAAAACTAGATCCCATGACTTTGAACCCATGTCCTCTTTACTTTTCAGGGCAATAACTGGGCGCCAGGTTCAGATCAGCTTGGCTATGCATGATATTTTCATCGGTAACATCTTGGGTGTTCCCCAAGCCATCAAAGGTCACCAAACGACCTTATATACTCATATGGGGTTTCCTAAAATGGGGGATCCTCAAAATGAATTGTTTATAATGGAAAATCCCATGAATTAAAATGGATGATTTAGGTGTCCCCCCATTTCAGCATTTTAGGAAATGCCCACATATGGATGTACATATATAATATATATATATACAGTAATGTTCTCCATTTAGCAGAAGTAAGGCATTCCTAGAGTTAATTTAAGAACTTGATGATCCACCAACTTCACAACATTGGTCCATCAGACAGGATTAATTCGTCGAAACTCTCACAATCTCGAGCTTTGGGGCATAGCAAGCTTTGAATTAGCACCACGCGGGGTATATATATATATTTATACATATACACATACTACATATGTAGTATATACATATACTGTATAACTATATATTTATATATAATATTGTATATATATATAATCTTGTATATTTATATGTAATGTTGTATATATATACACATATATGTATATATTATGCATTGTATACATCATATATTGTATTGTATTGTATCGTATCGTATCGTATTGTAAATTATATATATTGTATATTATATATTATATGTTATATATTATATACTATGTATGTAAATATTATATTATATATTATATCTTATATATCATATATTGTATTTTTTATTTTATATATTATATATTATATTTTATATATTATACATTATATATTATATAATATATATTATATAATATATATTATATATTATATATTATATATTATATATTGTATTGTATTGTATATTATATATGTATTTAGGTAATACTCTACATGCATATGTATTGTAATATGTACATATACATTGTCATTGTAATATATTATGATATTTTTGAGATTGTTGAAGGCACCAAGCAGACAAACACCTTGGTTTCCTTCAGGTCACTTTTGATACTAAATTTCTTTGCTCCAAAACACGTCCACCAAGCGGAACCAGGGAACTGAATCTCTGAGTTTGGCCAATTTTGGGTGAGATGTTGGTCAACTCGCATCAAATCCCACCCTTCAGAAAGGGTTTGTAAAATCATGGTCAATCCCGTCAAATTTATGCTTGTCGTTGAAAACAAAACTAGCAGACATTCCGAATGTTAAATCCATGGTACCCTAAGGTACACTAACATAGACGTGGAGTTTACCCACCATGAAAGTAGGTAATTTTCCGAGCTCCGGTTTAAACCAGTGGGTTTTCAACATCCATGTAACCGAATACTCTAGGGTAAATCCCAATATTTTTAAAACAGGTTTTTTCCCATTCAAAGTCTAAAGGATAAAATTCATGATTTTCCCATGAAATCCGCCGTTGAGACTGCTTTCCCCCTATATTTTCCCATAGTTTTCCTATGAACATCTCCTTTTTCACACATTTGCCATGGGATTTTGGCCTTCCTAGGAACCTGGCAGTGTCAGACATGGCCGCTCCTTTGGCCGAATGGTCAGTGGCAGCTCTGACACTCGGTGAATGGTGGGATTTCTGGGTCCCAGTTGGTGATGGGTAAACAAAAAATAAGTTTTTTTGGAGTATCTAAGTTTTACCATTCAAGGATGATGCTGTGAATTTAGCATGACCGCACGAGATGAATCTCTGGTCGGCTGAATGGAATTAATTGAATGGAAGAAAAATTTCCCATGATTTTTCGGGCAAAAAACCCGGGGAACCTATGAAATTACATGAAATGACTGGGGTTGATTCACAAACTATAGCGGCTATGACCTAGGGAACCATCCGGGGGTTTTGACTCATAGCCACCATTAGCCACCTATTTCATGGATATTTAACGCTTCAATGGTGGTTGAAAATGGGATATATAACTATCTGGTAATCAAACTTGGCGAAATCCCCAATCACTATCAATAAAATTCAATAAATGATGATTTATAGCTGGGAAATTCATTGAACTAAATGATGGATTTTCCAGCATGCCGTGTTTTGATTACTGGAGGGTACTGTATCCGTAAGGTAAAAAAACATACCTACAAATTTTTACCATCAAAAATGGACATTTCATCAACAAAATTGGTGGTATAATAGGATGCGATAATGGGGATGTAATGCGAATATCATGGAGATAATCTGGTTGGTTGCCGGTTTCAAACATGTTTATTTTCAACCCTAGAAATTGGATGGTATTGACAAGCCTATTTTAAGGGGTGGCTCAACCACCAATAGTTGCATTGTTTGTATGCACAGAAATATTTATTGTTTTCGAAATCCGTCATTTGTATGGGATTATCTAGGATAGGGTCCTGTTCATCTACCTGTAAGACAAGCAAACATAAACTAACGTGTGACTGCTCCTTGCCGTGGGGTTTTGGTACTTCATACGTTCCCAACATCCCAGCTGGGAACGATAATCAGCCATGAAATTGGGGGTGGGGGGACCCCATTCTCAGACAAAACCAACTGAAGAGAGTTTATACAACTATTTTGAAAGGTGAGCCAGTTGCTGGTTTGATGATTATGCTTAATCCAAAATTGACCAAGGGAACTTGCTGAGTTGCTGATGTTTTCATTTTCTGGTTTATGTGAATCCACCAGAACTGAACAATCCACAGTTATAAATGGGTTATAATCCCATTAACTATAGATATATATCATATCAATAATCAACCATAGTTATTGGACTTAAAAACCAACTTAGCTAACTATGGGGCATCACCCTGCTGGGAAGATAACTTTGATTTTGGGCCCTGGATCATGATTCCAACATGGGCAGCTGACCAGATGGAGAAAAAAACGTAAGACAATTTTTGCGCGGATTCAACCAACTCAAATGGGGGTTTCCATAAATGGGGATACCCCAATAGCTGGATGGTTTATAAGGGAAAATCCCAATCTAACATGGATGATAACTAGGGGTACCCCCATGGATTGGAAACCTCCAAATCGTGGATTTCATCAATGACGATAAGGATCTTATGGCCCCAGATGGAAAAAAAAGCCGGGAATTTAAAATCACTGCTTTGCTCTAAATGGAGGACTGTACGACTGTTTCTTCAAAGAAACACCCAGGTTTTTTCTGCCAGTTAGCAACTAGTAATTTGAGACAGTGAACATGGTCCATTTGCTTCGATAATACCAGAGATTTTGGCGCCATGGTTCCACCGAGAAATCATGTAAGCAATGTAAGCTATGAAGGACATTTTCCGTTGTGATTGGTTCGGAATGGGGGGTGACCTGCCAATTTTTCATGGGATGGGGCGTTTTAGGGCTATTGTTTCATCACCTGATTGCGAGAAATCCTGTGGCCAGGTGATTCTCATCATCAACCACGTTTTTAAATGTTTTTAATCACTAAATGGAACGTTTGGACAATCGATGTTTAGTTGTTTAATAGTCGAATCCACATTTTTATGTTTTTTTCTTCTGATAAGTCACATTTTTTGATAGTCACCTCCCATTTTTTGTTACTTGAACCCGAGCTTTGTGATGTGTCATATTATGATAGTTAAATCCACGGTCTTTGTGGCTTAACCCGAACTCGGATTATTTGACACTCAATATAATATATTATATTACTTATAGTAACTCCCAAAGAGATAGAAAAGAAGTCGGATATTACCATCCCCCAATTACCATAGACACTAAAGATAGCAATTTTTTAGTGAAAGCAAATCTTCCGAGCCCTGACTCGTGGGAGGGTGAGAGTAACTTTTCTACCCTCCGGTAGCCAAATATGGCTTGCTGGAACATTTCCCGTTTAGTTCGGAGATTTCCCAGCCAGGAAGCCGTTTGATGAAGCCGTTTCGGGGATATCAACATGTTGCTTTAAAAAATGCTTCTATTCCTATGGTATTCTCATTGGTAATGGTAAAATCCCACACATGTCCCATATATATATATATGTATATATTAATACACATAGTGTGAGATACCCACACATATGTATATATATATAATATCATATAACTACATTCATTATTGTGATTTCCCCCCAATATATATATATATACATATTGTGAGATACCCACACACATATATATATAAATACATTTATGTGATTTCCCCCCCAACAAATATATATATATACACATCAATTCATGGCTCATGGTTTTTTAGCACTTCACGGAGGTGAAACATCCGCTCGACAGGACATTGACAGCATGACGAGTTTGACTCCCATGAGTCGCACTGGAACGATGCAATCAGCGCCGCGGCGGACGTTATGGGAACGTTGGGGCTTTCCATAGGCAAAATGGGGGCTACCCCAATGGAAAATCACCATTTTTCATGGGAAAATCCACTAAATCACCATTTTTCATGGGAAAATCCACTATTTCTATGGTGATTTTCCATAGCTATTTTGACATAACCAGAGGGTAAAATGGATGACTAGGGTTTTTTTGTCCATTTTAGGAAAGCTCCAAACGGTTTAAAGCATGAAATGCTGGTTTTTCATTGATCTCCGTGGCGAAGTTGTTTTTCGACTTCAGGTTTGAAATTTTGAGAGTTCTGAAACTTCGTTTTCTGTATATATACACCTTTTTTTCCCCACCATAAATGATATGTGACACCGCAGAAAATGAGGGATTCCACCATGGATTTCACCATGGACCTGGATAAACCGGCGATGGCCATGGGCAATTCACCGATGAGACGATTGAAAAAAACCCAATGACTGGGGCATCAACACCGAGGTCCTGAGGATTTACTGATATGGGTATGGGTCAATACCTATAGATACCATTACTATAGTGGGTTATTCACATCCATTTTAACCCAGCTATTTTGATGTGAACAAAAAAGGGGTACTATTGGTTTTGACACACATAGCCATAGATTGTGATCAAATCCACTGTGGAATTTTTCTGATTTTTCACCGAGCCCCGTGGCCCATAGGTCATCAATCTGGCTTCCAATGCTGCATCACTTACCAAGATCATGGATGATATGCCATAGCTCATCTAGTGAATCTAGTTCAGAATTGGAACATTGATTTACTATCAAACATGAACTTATCCTAACTTACAGATTTACTGAGATCATCGATGCTTCATTCGTTTGGTTCGCTTTCCAGTTTTCGGCGCTTTGCCCAAATCTTTTTTTCTGGGCAATTTCCCAGCACTGGTTAAGGGAACCTGTTGATGGTATTTAATAGTCAAAACCAGGATTGCCTGAATCTTTTCCAACCTTTGCATTAAAGATTTACTTCTTTCAAATCTCTACATGGATTTGCTGCCTGATTTCATGGGTCCACAAATCCAACAGACGATGGCCACATATCTCCTGATATGCTTCACATCAATGGATGGTCACAGACTGGAGTACTGGACAACCCCCATGTTTTTGAACAAATCCGATTCCGTAAAATTCCGTGATTCATGGGTTAAATCACTCGCTTTGATGCTTAAATCCGCAATTTTGGCAAACATCAGTAGATGGGACATGTATGGGTCAAAATTATATATATATATATAATATATTATAATATAATATTATTATATATATATATATATGGATGATTAAATATCTTTGAATACTCAAAACTCGACCCATTTTGTGCCAAGCCAAACTCATTCGTGGTGCCAAACTCACAGATCTCCCAGGACCGGTGCATGAGGCAGCAAGCAATCTCTAAAGGCTGGCGGCTAGTGGCAGTCAGCCATGGCTACCCACCTACCATGGGGATGGTAACAGCCATAAAAATGAAGGTGATCTTGGGTCCTTGGGCTTGTGGCATTGGCTTTTACCACATTGCTGTCACAATACACATTCCAATTTGCTGATAAAAAACACATGTTTCCTCCTCAAATAGCTAAAATGGGGGTAATAGGGTATGCCTCAAAATTGTGATTTTAGTTGGGACAATTCAATTCCGAACCATTTTGGAGGTACAGGTAGCCTATTTTCACACAACGAAAGCACTCAGATTTCACCAAAACATGGTGATTTCAGCAAAAGAAAGTACGATTTAGGAAACAAAACGTGTGAATTAGGCACAAACGATGAGGATTTCAACAATCGGATTGACAAGAAATGAAAGCAAACAACAATTCTTTCAGGACCCTCTGGTTTTTTCTACACCGCAATTGAAACAAGGAAATTAAACATGGCAATATCCAGCAAAAATATGATTCCAAAGCTAATAAATCTGGGGTCCATTCTTTTTTTAAGGGGGTGCAGCTAAGGAAAAAAATGGGGGTTTCCTACAGATTCCTTGAGATTTTTCATCAGCGCTTCAGAGCCGCGCCTGATTTGCTGACTATGAGTGATGCCTTTGGGAATCGAACATGTCAGTTGAACAAACCCATCAAAAAGTGAGGTTTCTAGCTGGGAAATTCATCGAGGTTTATGGGCTTATTCATGGGAAATTCATCGAACCAAGACCAAACGATTTATTTTCCCATTTTGATTATCAAAATAAGCAAGCCAATAATCCAAATGGATATCAAAATAAGCAAGCCATATTTGATTCCCAGAGGCCACTTTGGTGGCCAAAAACTAGGCCTGGCTTCGAAAAAAACCGTGGCCAAGTCCGTCATGGCCGTGATTTTCATAATCTCTTCTGACCCATGTTTTCGGGTTCAGGTTTTTGTGGAGGTTTAGGATTTGGGGGTACCCCTAAATCCATCTAAATCCTCCATTTTTTTGATTGGGGTTTTTCTAATAAGCCATCCATTCAAACGGGTCAAACGGGTACCTTAGGACCTATTGGTACTTCTATGTTTCAGTTTCCGTTGAACTGGAAATTCCCCCCGATTTTTCATCCAAGTCATTCGACCCTGTTTTTGTAAAGATGTTGAAAGCCATTGCTTTGATGCAAAAAGCTGGTGGAAAAATCCAAGTGCTTGACGAATCGGTGGAGATCCCAAGTGTTTGTTTTAGTCACTGAGAAAACTTTTCACTTTTCTGTGCATGAATTTTCCATCATTTCATGGAATTCCCCAAGGTTTTTCATTAAAAAATCTAAATCCAGCATTTCTGTTGGTTGAATCGACATTTATTTTTTTGGCATAGCCATTTAATTTAAGTGCCAACGAGTCTTGACAGCCGCCTTGTTGGCTGGTTGAATCCTGCGACCTGCAATGTTTCCAATGGAAATCCATTGTTTAACTCCCTAATTCTTGGCACCTCAATTCCGTGACTACCGTGTGTATAGGTATAATTAGGTATGTATATATATATATATGTATGTAATATAATACACATCTATGTTCAGATTTGAGATTGATGATCTTAACAATCATGACAATGACAACACTAACAATAATAATAACAATAGCAGTAACAATGACGCACACAAAACTGCAATGCATAATTATTCAGAATGAGCAATCATACAAAAAACAATGATCATTAATAGAAATAGGTAATATGAAATCTAGTACGAATAATAGCGATAATGCTACTGAACTCAACAGAGGCAGTAGTAAACGAAGCACCCTTAAGTAATTCTTCACAAGACGAAAAATGGAAAAGTCACCATGAACATAGAAGTTCCCAAGGTTGTTGTTCGGATTGTTTTGTGAGTCAAATTACCAGAGGGTTCAACATGGTGCCCCCAAAACCTTATGTTTCACCATCATTAATCACCACCATTAGTCACCATTAGTCACCATTAATCACCATTAATCACCATTAATCACAATCATTAATCACAATCATTAATCACCATTATTAATCACTTTCAATACCCACCATTAATCACCATCATTAATCACCATGATTAATCACCATTAATCACCATCATTAATCACCATCATGAATCACCATCATGAATCACGATCATTACTCACCGTTAATCACCATCATTAATCACCATCATGAATCACCATCATTACTCACCATTACTCACCATTACTCACCACTACACACCATGAATAACCATTAATCACCATCATTACTCACCACCCTGAATCACCGTTAATCACCATCATGAATCACCACCGTTAATCACCATCATTAATCACCATCATGAATCACCATCATGAATCACCATCATGAATCACCATCATGGATCACCATCATTACTCACCATTACTCACCATTAATCACCATCAATCACCATTAATCACCATTAACAACAATTAATCACCATCATTAATCACCATCATTATTCACCACCATGAATCACCATTAATCACAATTAATCACCATAATTAATCACCATCAATAATCACTATCATTACGCACCATTACTGAGCATTAATCACCATTATTCACCATCATTAATCACCACAATTAATCACCATCATTAATCACCATCATTAATCACCATCATTACTCACCACCATAAATCACCATTAATCACCATCACAAATCACCATCATTAATCACCATTATTAATGACCATTAATCACCATCATTACTCACCATTAATCACCATTAATCACCATAAATCACCATTAATCACCATTAATCACCATTGTTCACCATCATTAATCACCACAATTCATCACCATCATTAATCACCATCATTACTCACCACCATAAATCAACATTAATCACCATGACAGATCACCATCATTAATCACCATTATTAATGACCATTAATCACCATCATTACTCACCATTAATCACCATTAATCACCATTAATCACCATAAATCACCATTAATCACCATAAATCACCATTAATCACCATTAATCACCATTTATCACCATAAATCCAGAGGGTTGAACATGGCGCCGCCAAAATCTTATGTTTCACCATCATTAATCACCAGCATGAATCACCATCATTAATCACGCTTAATCACCATTAATCACGATCATTAATCACCCTTAATCACCATCATTAATCACCACCATTAATCACCATTAATCATCATCATGAATCACCATCATTAATCACCATTACTCACCACCATAAATCACCATTAATCACCATTAGTCATCATCATGAATCACCATCATTACTCACCACCATGAATCACCATTAATCACCATTATTCACCATCATTACGCACCATCATTAATTAGCCTCAATCACCATTAGTGACGATCATGAATCACCATTAATCACCATCATTAAGCAACATTATTAATCACTATCATTAATCACCACCATTAATCACCATTAATCACCATCATTCATCACCATTATTAATCACCATCATTATATAATCACTATCAATAACCACCATCAATTACCATCAATAATCACCATTCTTAATCACCATCATTACTCACCATTACTCACCATTACTCACCATTACACACCATTAACAACGATTAATCACCATCATTACTCACCACCCTGAATCACCGTTAATCACCATCATGAATCACCACCGTTAATCACCATCATTAATCACCATCATGAATCACCATCATGGATCACCATCATGAATCACCATCATGAATCACCATCATTACTCACCATTACTCACCATTAATCACCATCAATCACCATTAATCACCATTAACCACCATTAATCACCATCATTAATCTCCATCATTGTTCACCACCATGAATCACCATTAATCACAATTAATCACCATAATTAATCACCATCAATAATCACCATCATTACGCACCATTACTGACCATTGATCACCATTATTAATCACCATTATTCATCATCATTACTCACCATCATTACTCACCATAAGTCACCAGTATTAATCACCATCGTTAATCACCATCATTTCTCACCATCATTACTCACCATTAATCACCATTAATCACCATAATTAATCACCATCAATAATCACCATCATTACGCACCATTACTGACCATTGATCACCATTATTAATCACCATTATTCACCATCATTACTCACCATCATTACTCACCATAAGTCACCAGTATTAATCACCATCGTTAATCACCATCATTACTCACCATCATTACTCACCATCATTACTCACCATTAATCACCATGGATGACCATCATTAATCACCATCATGAGGTCATTTAAACAGCAAAAAATCTCAGATTCCCCCCAGGCCTGCCCAAGCTCTCAGCAACAGCTCTGGCAGAGCTTGATCAGCGCCTTGGCGCCTGGGGGTTTCCATAGTCATGGGGGATCCCCAAAAAGATTGGTTCATTTCATGGAGAATGCTGTTAAAGTAACCTATGGTTAATCTATGGTTAATCTATGGTTAATCATTGAAATAACAATATATCTGGTTGGTGGTTTGGAACATTTATTTTTCCATCATATTCGGAATAATCATCCCAACTGACTTTCATATTTTTCAGAGGGGTTGAAACCACCAAGTAGGAACTAAACCATCAAACTTTGGAAGAACTTCGTAGTATCTGCTCAGCATAGTTAGACCTCATTGACAGATGCCGCAAGGGTCCCACTTCAGGGACCTACCGCCAGGCTCAGTCAGCATTTGCGATTCGTAGGATGCTAGTCAAAGTGGGACAGCAAATGTCGATTGGTTATAGGATGTTATAGGCGAACAAACAATTTCCGAACCATGAACATATGGGGATGGGTGAAGTTGCCATACGACTCGGGGAAGAACCATCCAGCTATACCAGCTATGAGGGTACCATCCGGGTACCAGGGTTTTGACCCATAACTGCCCATAACCATATGATCTTATCCTTTCACACAGCAATATGGGGCTTCCCCAAAAAACGACGAACCCCCACCTGCAAGGAGGACGCATGTCATGCTGTAAGTGGCACTTTTTCCATGCCTGCAAAGCGTCAAATACACCAAGGATGAGTTCTAAAATATTTTCTGAGTTTATTGGTTGTGACAAATATTGTGCCAAATATTATATTATGTACCTTGAATTGTATTTGATATATATATATATATACATACATACATATATACTCATATATATATATATTTATTTATTGGATGTGTAATGATCGCTTTGGATGTTTAACCCTCCTTGCATCCTTTGTTTGACCTCTGATGTTTGGCGACTCCTCAAATGGATGTGGCTGAAGATATGTACCTGTAAAAGGACAATATCGTAACTTTCTGAAAAAAACACACATTTATGTACATCCGTTTCAAATACATCCATTTATCGTAATTCTGCACCTCAAATTGCATGATTTCATACTACACACGGACCAGCCACAAATGTGCGGCTGTCCAATGGAAAAATGGTCGCCATCCCCTTCAATTGCTGGCGGACTTCTAACTTGATGAGATTGAATCCCCAATTCTCCTAATTTCTTATTTTTCACCCTCTGGTTATTTGACATAAGCTATGGAAAATGGATAAACCCGTCCCGTTTATAGATTATATAGCTATTGAAAATGGTCAGCTTCCGATCCCAGAGCTATGTTGAATTAACAGAGGGTATGTATATATAAAGAAATATAGATACATATATTATATCATTATACGGAGGTTTCCTAAAGTGGGGGGATCCACAAGTCACCATTGGTTTCAATACTAAAACTGGTCTAAAGACTTGCTATTTGGAGGTTCTATGACTTAGGAAACCTCCATATGGTTTTGGCAGCTATACATACACCTTGTGGCTCAACATGATGGACCCTCGTTTGTGGTGTTGGGATGTTTTTCAAATACAAACAACTCCACTGCTAGCCCATACCAAATGGGAACGGGTCAAGTTACCTCCGAAGTTACCATACTGGGGGTTTATTCACATCAAGCTATACCAACTATTGGGTGCTTAAGGTGCCTGGGGTTTGACTAGCCGAGCAAAGCAGTCATATCAAATCCTGATAATCAAAGTATTGCTCATTAGAAACACCGCTCTTGGACGCATCCCACTTTTTCATGGTGAACTCATGCATTCTTGGAAGTGCAGTTCCAGTTGGAATTGGAAGTAAAAAAAAAAACAGATTTATCGGGGCCCCATATCCCAACTGATCGGGGTTTACAGCCATGCTTATACATTGCAGCCCCATTTCAAACTCTTAAACTCCTATTACATCATATGAAATCCCAATTTTGAGTGGTTTTGTCGGCACATCATTTTTTGCGGGATGGGTCGAAATTCTTTATTCTTACCATATGACTTTTTTTTTCCATCCATAACCAGTTTTGTTTGTGTAGGCTACCAGGCTTTTGACCCAGCTACACCTCACGGAGGTTGCTCTACTCGGATTACCACCGCCACGTTGCTGTCCTCTTCACCGCCGCTCGGCCCGTTGTTTTCACCACGTTGTATATATCTATATATTGTATATATACATACAGTAGATGTATACATATGTATCTTTTTATCTATGGATCCATGTATCTATGTATCTACGTATCTATGACTGATCATGAACCGAACCAGCCAGAATTTGAGTCAAGTTTCTTAGCCAAGCCAAGCCGCGAAAAGCCTGCGGCCAGTGCATGCGATTGCAGCTGCGTAGATGTCCAATGGTAGGTGACAATATCGTGTACGGAACCGGATACAGTAAATATTATATCTTGGTAGCTCATATCGTCCTCACTGCGACGTCACTGGAATACTGGTTAGTAAGGGGACTTGTCCCAATATACCCGAACTATTCAGGTTAGTGAATTATGATAATTTACCCAGATTTATTTCAGGTACGACGTATGATTGATACACCAGATTCAAAATATATGGGATTTCTGGTGAGATCTTGATGGATTTTACTGGGGCATCCC